GTAGCACACTTCCTGTTTATTTGGTGAATTGTATCTTGAGGTTTGTATGTAAAAATTTGAGACGCTAGATGTCCCTTATCTGGATTTTCGTCCAAGGTCATCACGCCCTATATACAGCCCCATCCATTTTATGGTTGGGCGGCCAGGTCTGGGGTGGTGGATGGGCAAGAGCGGAAGCCGCGCGATGCTTTCTGTTTTTTTGCACTGTTTATTTTCTTCTTATTGGGTAGTGGGCTGAGAGCTGGCAACGGTATGCACAGCGCCATGTCTAGGGGGGTGGTGGTATTAGACTTTATTTGTTGAAATTGCTGATGAAGATATGCATATCTTATTAGCTATTTGATATGACCGTTTTAGATTTCTTATAATGAAATATTGCATTATTATTGCATGATTGATTGTTACTAAAGACAAGTGGGAACCTGGTGAGTTGGTTGGATGATAGATATTGACCGATAGTGAGGTTGTGGGTTCCGACTTGGCTTTCCCTTTAATCATTAGCACAGATCGTATCGATATAACGTGGGATAGGGTTAGTATATGCCGAAAGGTGGCGTTGTCGAATCTTGGGCAATAAGGTGTACGATCTTCTTGGATTGAGAACCACGTGCGATACTCTTTAAACAGTATAGATTCTGGTACAACAGCACTTATTTGTCGATCTTGATAGTGATTTGTGCTGTCGAGTAAGACATTTGATGGAATTGCATGTGCTTTCGTGGATTTCTCGTGATTAGTTATCCCATTGATTTATTGTTCTCATCTATGTTACGGATTTCATTTAATTTTCAATTGATTGATCTGAGGATTGATACTTATTTGATATATCGAATATGTGACACTGATATGGTTATGGACTGGCTATAGATTATAGATCATGATACCCATTGTGATTTATGCATTGATATACTTGTCACTTACGTAGACTGTTGAGTCGTATTGTCCTTTCGATTGATTTTTGATCGCGATCTTTGATAGTATAGACTGATTTGAGTTGATTGAATTTATTTGGAACTGATTAATTTTTTATTAATTTATCGGTATTGCTTTTCCTAGGATTTTCGGATTAATGTTCAGTTTATTGATAGCAGTCACCATCATATTGGAATCGGCATCCTCTGGTATTGATCTCAATCAGATGAAGAACCTATTTACGCCGTCAGTATTATGGAGATGTAATCAGTTCACCGGGTACCGATATTGATATGGATTCTGAGGTATGGAATATTCGTCCGCAGAGAGACCTTGGAACAGACCATGATATTGTTAGATTATACCTGATGAATGTGGGGGATAAACAACTATCTCCCGATATGCGCAGATTATATAGAGCTTTGGGATATTGGAATGTCGGAACTAATTCGGAAGTACCGAAGTTTGCGTATACTAATGATGTCACATTGGTAATCACTATGTGGTTCTAAATTGTTCGGTGTATTAACCTTGATTACTCCGAATGAGTGTGAATTAATGGAATTATGCTTCGTATGTCGCTTTGATTTCTTTTATCAGCAATAGAGTGATTCCTCCTTTTGATTACTCTGAGTGGTAACCTGCTTTGATATAGTTCCATTATGAATGTTTCTAGAACTCGTGACTTCACATGAAATCTCTTCGCTAGCTGCACGTACTGATTAGATTATAGCTTTAGCTGGCCATACGGTTGCCCCGATGAATATAACTGATGAGACTACAGGCGGTTTACCTATCGATTGAGGCTAGATCCACACCCGTTCACCTGCGTAGTTTGGGCGTCTGACGTCCAATTCTGTTGTTGCCTATCCTGGAATTAAATTATTGACTCGTGCGACCGCAGTTCGCCCCTTGAACACGCCAGGACGGCTTGCCCAGATGACCATCAGGGCGCGTGATGAGTTTCTTAGGCTTTGCTTCGATTGGTTTGTTCATACTGACATCCGATCGTACGATAATCGTACGTGTTGAATATTTGGTTGACTAATTGTGAAGAAGATTTACGGATACAACTGATAGACGACTCGACTCAATTGACCTCGTGAGTATTGCGATTGAGAGAATTCTATTGAATTGTCATTCCAGATAAGATAGTATTGTATAGACACTGCTACCCATGGAAGACATTGAAGCTGAAAGATTACTGAGTTGATTGTCTGGGAAGAATTGATTCTTTATCGTTACTTTTTTACCGCGCTGTATTTATTATTGACTATTGTGCTTGCAGAGTTTGCTCTGCATTGATTTTGAGTTCCGATACGCTTGCATATAGGTTCCATTGAATCCAAGCCTATCCGAATTTATATTGATTGACTTGCGATATCTGTGTGTTAATGTCAGTCTTTGTTCAGTGTAGGTTTGTTGATACTGCGGGGCGCTTTGTAAGCTCATTATATGTGGTTAATATTTCAGGTGCATGGCCTCCAGTCTGAAGATCTTTCTGTCGAGTTCAGCCTTTTGTTTTGTAGCCTTAGGTAGGCTTTCTTTTGTAGCCTGTATGGCTATTGTAGATATTTCTTTTGGACTCTTTTGTCTGTTTTCTGATTGTACTATATGTGAATTATAGTATCCGCTGCTGTTTCTTTTCTGTAATGTAATTATCTCTGGCTCTGGATATATGTATGGATGGATAAATGAGGAAACCGATAGAAAAAAAAAGAAATGAATGATCGATCAGAGGAATCCTTTCGCTACACGGATCTTGGGGTCGTTACACTGTCGCCCTCCCGAATGATTGCAATACTTCGCCAACCTTTAATGTATCGGACATTTGGCCATATACGCCTCCTGATGCGGAGTAGTCACCATTAGCTCGTCGGTGTCGAGCTCTTCTGATCCGGAAGAGAGCTGATGCGAAGCATGATTACACCGGAGGTCCTACCGGACAACTTATCTTTTATAACAGACTTTGACACTAGCCACTACCTTAGTTCCTATTTTCTGTATTATAGTACTATTATTACCTTTTAGTTTGTTATACTCTTTTTTAGCACAGCTCAAGGAGTTACATAGGCGAGAAGGAAGAGGATTGTAGACAAAATTTTTACAACCAGAAAATATACTACAGCAGCTTGGCTGTCTTCCTCCATGTCTTCTCTACTCCGTTTTCTCTCTTGTTTTTCTTCTAACATTCGTTGCAGGTACCCTGTCGCCAGCCTTCGTCACATCCGTTCCAGTCGACGATCTACGTTGCATCAAATTGAGAAGGTAAAGGAAGAATTTAATGAAATAAAAATTAATTTTTGCTAAATTTTTTATATTTCGGCGGCGATTTCTGTCGGCAAAATTTCTTGCATAAATGGCTGCCTGAAATCCTCCGAAATTTTTTTCAGCTGATTTTTTCTGTCGCGTGATTTAGCAGTATATTTTTTTTCTGTCACAAATTCACCGGAAACCACCATTTTAGTTAGAAATTCAGTGAGATTTTTGATGAAAAAGTTTGCCAAAATGAGTGAATTTATATCGAAGCCAGTGGGCCACCGACTGGGATTCTATTATGTCGGAGCCAGTGGGCTGCAGAGATGAGACTGTTAATAAAGATATATAAAAGTTTTGACTTGAAATTCATTTTAATAAATGATACAATGTAATTATGCATCCAAAATATGGGCGTAGAATACAAAATTGGCATATAAATTAAATCATTTATGTTACCATTAAATTGAATTTTAATGTTTGACCCCAATGTTAATTTAATTGCAAATTCACTTTTGCTTAAACTTTCTAAGCGCATGTGAATTTTGTATAGATTATTTTATAATTAAAAAAAGCTCAATTTATATTAAATACATAATTTAAGTTATAAATTGCCTTCAGCCGATGTCGGACAAATGAAGCATTCGTTCATTGGAGAAATTATTCTCTGGAGTCTCGATCGGAAGAACCGGCTGTGAATTTATATATTATGTGTAAAAAAATTTGATATATATTATGTATAAATGTGTACATAGTATGTGTACACTCACATCTCTCCGTCATTGGAGTTTGTTCAACAGGACGTGATGGGAATTTCATATTATTCCTCAGATAAAATCGTATGAATACCCATTGTTCATTTTTCCAGTTGTATTCAGACTCAATTATAGTGTCTATCCTAAAATATTATGGTCTTTAGGCAATTGCACCCAATATAATTAAATATAATGTGTATATGTGTTATTATTAGGGAATGATGAATCAAATACAAAGAGAAATAATAAATTAAAAATTGTTCCGGTGGCGCTGCCCCCAGAAACCCCTGCAGAAGCGCTGCTTCTTGACCCTGCGACCTGACCAGGCAGGTCGAGCCCCGCCAGGGGACACTGCCCCAATGGACCCCCAACATATATGCTAACAGTTACTTATAAGTTTGCCCTCCATGAAAATTATGGCCGATTCCGCCCCTGCAAATAATACATGCTCTTATATTCTTCTTCTTCTTCTCTGCTCTCTCTCTCTCTCTCTCCTTAATCACTCCAAGATGCATTAAGAAAATAGTAATGAGATACAAAAACTAGGTGATAGCAAGTCTATCACAATCCTCCATGACCATCTTTGTAAAAGATGACGGTAGATTAAAAAAGGAAGCAACATACCAATGAAAATCACCGAAAGTGGCTAAGGAGGCACAATAATCCGCAACCTTGCTACAATAAGAAGGAACAAAAAAAATGACATTGCGAAAATCAGTAAGAGAAGAAAATTTCAACTTCATACTATGCAATTCCATCTTCTTATTATGGATCTCCAACAAAAATTCCAGTTATCACCAACAAAAATTCATCACATTCCAGTTATCACCCTCAATGATAATCCCTTGCATATCATACATCCATTCTTGAATCATATATGAAATTGCACAAATAGAAATATTCAATTCCAATTAAGCACTATCCCAATCATATAACTTCATTCCAAAAGCACCTAAAAACCTTCCTTTACGATCTCTTACAACATCAAGCAAAAAGATACAACCAACATCAACATATTCAGTATTTTCAATATGTATATATAGAGAGAGGGAGGAGCACTTTACTTGCTATATGCATTCATCCGTTTTGCTGTTGATTTTCCATTTTTGACATTTGTATCACGATTAACATGGAATCAGATCTCAGCGTTGATTCCTCCTTAATAGAATTAGGCGCAATCACTGGCAGCTCAGCCTCAACTCTCCCAATATTTTTTTCATTCACCAACTGATTTAGATAATCCTTGCTTTTACCACATAAAATGAAGTACATGCCAGCTACTAAGATAGTAGCGCCAATGATTCTGTGCGTCCAATAAAAAAGAAAATTTTCCCATGCTTAATAGAAATTTAATAAAAAACAAGACGTACAGTGTTAGAACCTATATAAAAAATAAATATTTCCAATATTTATTAGAAACTATATAAAGAAAATACAAGTGTGCATAATATTATGGGCACGAGCTTACGTTCCAAGAGCAGTTCTTTCTGATAGGAAGATGGAGCTCAAGAGATTAGTCATGATCATTGTAAGAGGATTAAAGGCACTTGCAAAAACTGGGCCTTTCTCCTTCATCACTATCCCGAGCAGAAAATACATGAACGCAGTGCATATTACCCCCTGCAAGTAGGAGTTGATGAGTAATCAAACTTCAGATGGGCGGATCTCCCATGATATCAAGGTAGGCAAATGATCACTCTCAAAAAAATAAATAATTACTAGCAGTTTATATTTTGTCCACCCTCAAAAAAATATTTTTGTTCTAATATTATCATCTTAAGGGACTGTTTGGTAGCACCCAGGATTTGATTTGAGTAGGATTTCTTAAACCGCTAAATCCGGATTTCGAAAATCCTGAGGGAAATAAATCGTGAAAACTGTTTGGTAACATTCATGATAAATCATATTAAATCTCATGTGACTGTTTGGCTATAGAACGGATTTAATGAGCGGATTCTTCTTCTCCAACCAAGGGATTTCATAAATCCGGCAAAAATAGGATTTAAGAAATCATAAATTTAGCATGAAAAGGTGGAATTTTCCGTCTACGACGGCTTTCAATTGGCTTGATATTTGGTTTTGTATTTTAGGTCGTTTGACTGGATTTCGCTCAAATCCAGCCTAAATCCTACTATCAAATAGCCCCTAAGCGTCGTTGCACATCCTACAAGTTCGCACTTCAGAATTGCTTTCACGATCCTCGCTTTCAACGTTCAAGACATCGGCGCCTCGCAGTTGTCTCACATTCTTCTTCTTACCAATCGTATTTGACATTCCCAATACGTAATTAAAAGATAAATGATAAAAATTTCCTCTTATAAATTTAATAGCATTATACTTAGGGGTGTCAATTCGGGTCAGCAGGTCGAGTTCGGGTCGAACCCGGAATTGACCCGGCACTGTTCGGGTCAACCCGAACCGACCCGTTTTTTAAAACGGATCAAGTTTCCAGACCCGAACCCGACCCGACACGAATGACCCGGATTTGAGCTTAAATTGCTAATTTTCGGGTCAAAATCGGGTCAAAACGGGTCAATCTCGGGTTTTCGGGTCAAATATGAGTTTTCGTGTCACTTTCGGGTCAATTTCGGGTTGCTGGGTCAACCCGAACCCGACCCGATTTTTAAAACGAGTTGATTTGTTCAACCCGAACCCGACCCGTTTCGGGTTCAGGTTGACCCGAACCCGGATTTTTCCGGGTCGGGTTCGGGTCGTGTCAAAAATTGACACCCCTAATTATATACTGGTTAAATTTTTTTTTGTTATTATTACCATTTGATGTTACTATTTTATTATTATTATTATTATTTTAGTAATTATTATTGTTGATGTCTAATTAATTAAAATTTTGTTCATTCTGAAAAAAAAAAGTCGGATCCGCCCCTCTTCTAATCACCTTGAGTTATATTATATCGATCACTCAATTCATAAAGTATTATTGATTAGCTTACTGAATATATCACAGCAACAAGTCGCATATCCCAGCCCAAAATCCATGGCCTGAAACTTCCATGCTCCACCACAAGAGCAATCACAGCATTTGTTACAGCACCAATGAGAGAAACCATAACCGTAAGGCTTAGTTTTGCTGGGTATGATTTCAATGTGTTGGCCTGTAATTAATCAGAATATTAATGAATACTTTTTAATTATGAGCAAATAATTTATAAGCTTGTCAAATACATAAACAAAATCATTCTTAGGAAATTTTGTGTTCGTATATTACTTGAAGAATTAAGAAGGAAGACCAACTGAAGCAGCTCACTAAAACCATTAATGTGCCCTTAATCCATTTCAAGTTGCTTGTTTCTTCCCCACCGGCATGAGCTTCAGTGCTATGGTTCTCTTTTCCTTTCAACCAGAAAAATTCAACATATGGTCCTTTGTATAAAATCATCAAAATGGCACCAATCACAGCCAAATGGGCTCCAATGACCTTGGCAAGGCCATGCCTTCTTCGAATGTTCAGCTTCTCCATCCTAATTAATTTTATGAACAAATGCTTAGTTATTAAACAAATTACAATATAAATTCAACTTCAATAATGTATATATAGCAAGTTTTAATTAAAGAAGTACCTTAGAAGAAGGCAAATGATAAAAGTAATGGCAGGGTTAATATTTTCGAGAGCAGAAGCAAAGCCAGCTGAGGTCATTTTGGCTCCCATGAAATAGAAGTTTTGATCAAGAACAGGCCTGGTTTATTTATGATGGGAATAAGAGCATATAGAAAGTTAGTACGGCTCATTTATGGTTGATTATTTAATGAAAAGGGAGGAAGGATCATAACTGAAGTATTCCTAGTGCCATAACCTTGATGAAGATGACGAGAGTTATCTTAGGTCTCCCATTCCTACACCAGAAAAAAGTGAAAGATTAGAAAAGTAATTATACAATTATTACTTCTATATGTATGTAAGTGTAAGATCAAAATTCACATAGTATATGTAATTAGAATAGCATTCCCGCACTTTGCTTTTTTAGAGAAATACGACTCAAAGTTGATCTTAAATAGGGGCGTCAATAGTTGACATCGACACGAAAATCTGAATCGAACCCTACCGAAAATTTTGGATTAGACCCTACCTGATTTCAAAATGGGTCGTGTTCGAGTTCCCGGATTCAGCCCGTTTGAATAAACGGGTTGGGTTTAGGTTGCCCGACGGGCCAACCCAAAAACACGTTTGAAATGAGCTGACCACACTGCCTGAGCCCGCCTGCGTTCCATCTGAGCTGGCCGTGCCTACCCCCGAGGCTGCCCTCATCACGTCGCAAGCCCTGCCATCCACCGTCCCGCCGTCCAGCCGTCAATCGTGTCGGGTTGGGTCAATCCGGTAACATGAGAGGTCGAGTTCGAGTTCGGATCCGAATTTTCGACACATTTACATTACTGGGTCTGGTTATGGTCAAACTGTATGAACCCGGTTAGTTCCGGGTTCAACCTGAAAATTGATTTTGACTCCCCTAATCTTAAATAAAATTATTTTTAAAAATATGCCATTAATTACTTATATTTTAGAAATAAATTTTACTATTTATTATTTACTTTGAAATCAAACACCATATATAATCATTTGCAGTACTCCCTCTTATTCATACGCACCTCTCAAACCAGAGTGCAAAGGGCACAATGACCGCAGCAGCAACAGCACTGCGATACACGAACATTACAGACTGGTTCATGCCTTCCTTAAGAGTCTTCATTAGAACTACGTACATAACAGCAAAGCTAAACTGAAGCAACACCATGGCCGCATAAGGCTTCACTTTCTTAAACACTCGTTTAACTTTTGCGCCATTGCCTTCCATCGACGACACCATTGCCATGGCTGCTTCTTCCCACAATTGCTTAACCTGCTCTTCTCTTCACGAATAGCTAGGCTTGCTTATGTTCTCTCTCTATATATAATACGAGATATGGAGAACAGCATCAGAGACCTTTTTAACCTTACTCGTATTTTTCATGCAACAAGCTACTTAGTCTAATATGCTTTTGATCAGCACCTTAGTTTTATTAATAAATTTATAACTTAAATTTTATTAAGGGTTTTGCCATTTGGCATTTGGCATTTGGAATTTAATTTTCTTCTGGCGTGTGATATAAGGAATCTCAGTTAAAAAATAATAATAATAAATAAAATAGGCATCCACATATGAGAGTTGTTTGGGTTGGGAGGAAGAAGACAAAATTAGGTTGCATAAATTAGTACTAAGACTAGCTATTAGTGACAATCAATTATTTTATTTTTATAATAATATAATTTTTATTATTCAATTTTAGATTTAAGGTTTCATTTGGGATAATTTTCTTCCTGCTTTTTAAAGCAGATTTTTAGTACAAAATTTTCTAGTTTTAAAATATTTTGTACTAAAAAAGCTTATTTAAAAAACAGTAAGGAAGCTGTCACGAACAAAGCGTAATTTGTTTTTTTAAATGACAACCACAATTTTTCTTTGATCACATTTTTTTTGTAAATTATGTTAACAAATTGCTTTTTATAATTAAAAAATTTTATTTTCTACAATAGCTTTAATTATAAAGTAACAACAAAGCTGGCCAAAACAAAGTCTAAATTCAATACTTTTATTTGCTATAAAAACCTCATCTCTTTTATAAGAGGTATTAACAGCAACCATTACTCTCTATTAAGCATTTTATTAACATCACCAACTATATTATATAAGCACCTAAAGTATATTTTTGCATCACATTGAGGCTTTGTTTTTTGGTCAGTTTTAACTTTTCTATTTTTTTGTTTTTTTTAAAGTACATTTCTTAATCATAATTTTAAATAGGTCGACGTCTGTCAATAAATAATCCGAACCGCCAACTCGATTAGAAAAATTTGATATAGGGTTGATCTTTTTAATAAACGAGTCGAGCTCGGATTTACTCGTTTATTATAAATAGTCAAATTTCTAATTTTTTTATTTCTTTTTTTATTTGTATAATTTCTTATTTTTATCAATTAATCTAGAATAAATTATTAATAACTGAATAACAATATTTTTTAATTAAAACAGTTTAGGGTCGTAGTCGAGTTGCTAGATGTCGGATTTGAGTATAATTTTTTGACCCATTTATTAAACGAGTCGAGTTCGAATTGATTGAATTTGGGCCTGGTCAATTTCGGGTCGGACCCTATTCATTGACCCATTTTGACACACATAATTTTAAATATAGTTTTTAGAAGCTCAATTTTTAAAAAATATGAAAAAATTGTCTTTCAGACATATTATTTTTTATACTAAATAGTATTTTTTATCACATATGGTCAAAATTTATTCCAAATGGGACCTGAATCATCATAAATGTTATTTGCACTTAAACCTTATTCAAACATAGTGGAAGACATCAAAAAGAATTTTGATATTTGGAGTCATTGTAAAAAACATAGTATAATTATTGAAATTTTAATCCTTCTTGCGGACTAGAATATACGCGGCGATAGAGTTAAAAAGCTTTCGTCTTAACATTGTACATATATTCAGTGCACAAACAAAAGATGAAAGAACACAATGATTTTTTACGTGAAAAACTCTAGAAAGGGAAAAAACTACGGGGCCACACCCAGTTGAAAGAATTCCACTATTATTTGCTTGAGATACAAGAGGTTGACTCGTCCTTAAAATTTAGGATGATCAAATAACAATGATTCACTTCCGGATTGGAATCCAGTTACAAAAAAGTTGTGTATTCGAGATGAATTAAGGATCACTTGAAGATTAGGCAAAATTCCGGCGTCACTTGGAAATCAGGCAGAATTCCGACATCTTTAGAAAGTTGGGCGGAATTCCGGCATCACTTGGAGATCGGGCAGAATTCCGACGTCACTGGAAAGTCGGATGGAATTCCGGCGTCATTGTGGAAGTCGAGTAGAATACTGACGGTGGTCGAGGAGTTTCTTCCCTCCTATTAATCTTCTCTTCTCTTTTTCTTCTTGCTTGGGTCCCCTTTCAAGAGAAATGATGGGTCTATTTATAAATTTTTGGAGTGGCATGACCTGTAAATAGGTGAGAGATTAGGGGAAAATGGGGAGTGGTTGGATGGACGGCCGATATTGAATCCCTCGATCGTGTACCGTTCATCAGATATTTGAAGGTTTAGATGATGTCGGAATTTGTTGATCTTGGCCTCGTTGGATTTGTCTCGTCGAGCCGATAAATTCGATTATCAGCACGTCATGTTTGGAAATCGTTTGGTAATCCAAATTGTGGTTTGAACCTTCCAACAGCGATTCGGTTCTTCGATTTAGACTCATTTGGGCTTAGATTGAGTTGAGTTTGGTGTTGTTGGATTTGTATTTTTGAGACACTCGGTTCGACTATATGTTTACTGAAATCGGAATTCAGATTATCCCGAATTTAATTTTTTAAATTTCTGGCTTAATTTTGCCTCGAGATTTGTGCCCGATCAAAATAACTTTTTCATTTTTTTTTTAACAACCGCCACATATATAGATCAAGACAAGTTACAACAAAAAGACCCCTCAAAGGGCCACATCAGATGCTTATAGTCAAAAACAAGAAAAACCAAAGAAAAGATCTAACTTTTTCATGATATATCAATCCTTATGATAATTTTTAATATATATTTAAATTAAACTTCAAAATATTTAATATCATATTTATTTATTAATCAATACAATATAAATATCAAAATGAGTTAGGTATAATTTATCAAAATTCGTAATTAAGAGTTTTTTTTAATAATTAACTTTAAATGCTAATTTAGAGTTATGGAAAATAATATGACGACCTGAATCATAATTGTATGAATTTACATATTTTTTTCTCTGTTTTAATTTTTAACCTAATCTTAGGTCATCATTAGGGGTTTAAGTGAGTCAAGCCAACTTGTGAGCCGGCTCAGGTTCAACTTGATAAATGGCTCATGAGCCGAGCTCGATGAGCTAACAAGCCAAGCTTGAGCTAGCAAGTCCCGACTCAGCTCGTAAGCTCGTGAGCCGGCTCGTTTGAAACAATATGAATATAAAATATACTTAAAATATATTATAATTCAGTATTTTAAATACAAAATTATTAAAAATATTTAAAATTTATAACACAATCTTTTATATTGAGTAATTATTTATTATTTTTGTTATAATTTCTCATTCTCTTTAACATTCTATTATAATAATTTCTTAAATCATAATAATTTTCTCTTTTCGTAATAACCAAGATTTCTGAAGATTTAAACATGGTTTAGAGTGATTTTCTTACTGTTTTTAAATCAATTTTTAATTAATTTTTTTATTAAAAAATTATTTTTAAAAATAATAAAAAAACAATCCCAAAAAGTTTTGGCTGGCTATGGATACAAAATTATAAATTTATTATATTATATTTTCTAATTGATTAATATGGCAATTTTTTTTTTTTTGAAAATTTATTTTTTATCTACAAATGACGATGAAATGTGAAGTTTGATATATTTTTTTTAATTTCCTATTTCTCGTTTTTAAAAACATTTGGAGGGTCAACTGGACGGCAAATTATTGTGTACGGTCACCTGACGTCCGGACAATCAATCCAGATGAGCCTCGTCACCCAAATACATTGGGGCCCAGTGTATTTTACTAACGTGACGCGTCTGAATTGGTGTCCGGACGAATCCGGACACCGGACGCAATCATTTGCCCAACTGCACGCCCCTTTCTCCAAACATCTAAAATAATATAGAGCTCACTTCGAAATGACCTTCTCTTTGTTTTTTTTAAGATTAAGAATTTAGAAAAAGAAAAACTCTTATAAAATAAAAAAAATTATGATAAGGTACTCCCTAATTTTAATTTTTAAAAGCTAAAATATCGACAAGAACATCATTTTAAATAAAGCTAAAAATAACTAACATTCAAATGCTGGTGATATGTATCCAAATAATTATCTTGTTCGGCCATGAATCTGAATGTTAATAGGAATAAAAACTTTTAAAATTAAATTCATGATCATATGAACTCTGATTTCAGCAAATTTATAACCAAACTAACAGTCTCAAAGTGGCGAACACAATGACACCAAAATCGGTCCAATATGAACCCAAATAGGTTCAAATTAAGGGCCCGAAACTTATTTGAAAGCTTCGAAACATTAATTGCATGACCAATGATATCCAAATGTAACATGCTTATAGTTGAATCGAGCGGCTCGATGAAATGAATCCAACGAGCCTAAGATCGCGAAATTATGACATCATCAAGAAATTCAAATGCTCAATAAATGATCCATAACTGACGGGGTTGATATCAGTCGTCCATGGAAACACTCCTAACATGTTCTTGATCTTCTCCCTATTAACTAGACATGCCACTCCTAAAAAATTATAAAGAAATCTATCATTCTTCATAGAGCGGGGAGGAGGAAGAGATGAAAAACAAAGGATTTCTATTGCTTTCTCAAGCTCGCACCACCCGGCCACCTGTCATCGTCAAACTTCCACCTGGCCGCCAACCGTCGAAGGACTTTCTTCCGACCACCGTCATCAGACTATTGTCCCTTCGACCTCTGTCGCCAACCAACTACGGTACCTTTGACCACCACTGTCTACCAATTATAGTCCATTCTAACAACCGTCGATTGCCGGCTATAATCCAATCGGACCTCCATCGCCTGCCTACTACTGTCCCTCCGACCTCTGAAGCCCGCTGAATATAGTCCCTTTTACCACCATCTCCTGCCAGCTACGATCCACTCCAACCTCCATCTCTCCGCCAATTATGATCCACTCTGACTACCGTCGCACACCAACTACGATCCATTCCGATCACCATTGCCCGCTAACTACGATCCACTCTAACCTCCAATGCCTACCAACTATGATCCCT